CTGCAGGGTGCTAGGGAGGGCGAAGGGTATGTTCAAAGCCTGTGGCTGCTACAAGATGTTTTAATTTATGCACGGGATTATTGTTCTCCCTTCAAAGCCCAAGATAAAAGGATAAAAGCTACTTAGGAATGCCCCGCAGGGACAAGAGGCTTTGATGCTGCTGGGAAGGCTAAGACCCTCCACTCAATAAGTAATTCAGCCCCATTCACATACCCAGAACCAAGGCCTTCTGGAGTGGGAGAGACCTCAAAGTTGACTGAGCCCAGCTTCCCACGAAAGGGTACTTCCCAGAGTAGTTCTGCCAAGGTGCCGCCCTGGGGTTGGGACCCCAGTTCCACCCCTCCAGGAACAGGGCCTATGTGCCCTCAGGAGAGCACCATCTCCAGCTCTGGACAAGGCTGCTTTCCTGTAGGGAAGAGGCCACCCCCCTATTCCGTCTATCGAGGGGCCCCAGCTCTGCCATCTGGAGCCTAACCCTGCTCTCCGCTGACTGTGGACGTTTAAGTCTAGTATCTGCTGGGCTCCAGGCCAGCCATCCTTGAGTTAGCACTTGGCTGTCCCTGCCAAAAGTGATTGTGAAGCCCTCACCCTTCTCTGTCCAAGGGGGCTCCTGAAGGAGCAAGCTCCAGAGCTGGAACACCAGGACCCCAAACTCCAACTGTAGACTGACCAATGCCAAGCCAAGTAGGGCTGCCATCTCCCTGGCCTTTTGGGATTTCCTATCTCCTGCCTTGGAAACTCCACCATAGGCATGTCTTCTTACCTAGGGCTTGAGGCGCCACCCCAGCACTGGTCTCTGCTCTACTCCTCTTCGAGTCCTTCCATCTCAACATGAATTCTAGCTGGGAGCAAAAGTTTTCTAGGTGTTTGTTTGTTTGCTTCGAGACGACGTCTCGCTCTGCTGCCCAGGTTGGAGTGCAGTGGCATGATCTTGGCTCACTGCAACCTCTGCCTCCTGGGTTCAAGCGATTCTCCTGCCTCAGCCTCCTGAGTAACTGGGATTACAGGCACGCACCACCATGCCTGGCTAATTTTTTGTATTTTTAGTAGAGACAAGATTTCTCCATCTTGGCCAGGGTGGTCTCAAACTCCTGACCTCAAGTGGTCCGCTCACCTTGGCCTCCCAAAGGGCTGGGATTACAGGTGTGAGCCACCATGCTGGGCCCTCTAGGTGTTTTGAAAAGAGCTACAGGATGCACACCACGGGGCTGCTTGCTGCCCTTGATTTGGGGAACTCGAGCTTGGGGATCCAGGGTCATGGGCCTGCAGGCTCAGCCCACCCTCTCTGGGCTGGGGGTCTCAGAAGCCCGTGTCCAGGTAAGCAGTTGCAGGAAGTGGAGATCTGGAAGCTGGAGCAGGAGTCCTAGCTCCACTGTCTTGTTGGGTTTGACCATTAACTGCTAGTCCTCAGGCTTGTGTCTGGGCAAGAGACTGAAGCCAGAGCAAGGCCGGTCACAGCACAGCTGGGGGAGCACTCAGGGCAGAGTGTGACCCTGAAGTCCCAGAAGTGACCTCGGGAGGACTGGGCAGTGTGTGCCTGGACTGTTTCTTAACGAGCTCACCCAGGCACACAGACTTTCCCTTCCACAGACTCACCGACATTTATATTCTGCAGAGTGATCCTGGCGAAAATGATTATTTCATTCCCTGCCTAACCGGACAAGCAAAGCCCCCAGAGGTTATCTGGACAAGAGTATAAAAGATCTCAAGAATGTGACCTGACCCAAAGAGCCCAGAGGGAATAATGGAAGTTTCTGCCAGGTCTTTGAGGATTAAGTGATGGGTAATTAGGGGCGGGTGGATGACTCTGTAATGGACCTATTTCTTATGCGCCGATAGGGACATAGTCTTAAAACAGGAAGAAGAACAAAGGGGAATGAACCTGCTCTGCAGTGGGCTGGGGAGCTGGGCAGGCTGCGCATGCTTCAAAAGGCATGTTTCCTCTTCACTATACATCATGACTCTGGGAATTAAAGTTTGTGCTTTGAGGGATGTGTGTGTGCGCTTATGTGTGTATAAATTGTGTGCCCTTATGTGTGGATTTGTGTGCCTTTATATGTGTGTGTGTTTGAGCAGATCATTATCTGTTTGATGACCTGAGAGAAAGAAAACTGTGGTTCTCAGAAGCCCATGTTCAAGTAAGCAGTGGCAGGAAGCAGAGATCTGCAAGCTGGGGCAGGAGTACCAGCTCCACTGTCTTGTCAGGTTTGACCATTAACTACCAGTTCTCAGGGTTGTATCTGGGCAAGAGGCTGAGGTTGGGGCAAGGTTGGTCACAGTGCAGCTGGGGGAACATTCAGGGCAGAGTGTGACCCTGAAGTCCCAGAGGTGACCTCAGAAGGACTGTATACTGGTAGGAGGAGACCTAGAGAAAGAACCAAATGTCCTGTCCCTAATCGCAAGCCCAACTTGACTAGTTTCCCTAAGCCCAAGCCCAACTTGACTTATTCTGCTGATCACCTCTGCCTTCACCCAAGGCCAACAATGGCATTGGACTAGAGCGAGCAAAATAATTCAGACTTTGGGAAATAGACTCCTCTGGATTCTAGTGTCTTCCAGATTGCCTGACTGGGGAAGAAAATGGAAAAGGGCGGAGCACCCTAGGGTCAGACCATTTGCCTCAGCTCAGGGAAGTGGCTTGGAGTTTCACACTGCAGAGATGAGAATGTGGAGCTTCTGTAAGCGAATGTCATACAATGAGGACGAGCTCTATTCAGCCCTGGGACTGTGTGAAGAAGAAAAGCTGACCAGAACTCAGCTGCTCCCTCAGATGGGGTGAGGATGCTACCCCAACCCGGGATCCTCCTTAGTAGCATCTATCCTGTCTTGCGTTCAGCCACTTTCAGCCCAAGGTTATAGTCCAGGCTGTAATCTTCGTGGCAACTTCATAAGGACCTTCATCCATAAGGACATGTATGGATGAAGCCCTTTGGGCCCCGCTAGAGATCTGATATCTGCAGCCTGAGATGGGTCATGGATGGTCAGGGCCAGAGAAAGAGCAATTTCAGTCACTCTGCAGCCTGAAGAGTTGGTTTCCAGGGCTTCTTGATGAATTTATTTCCCAATTTCTATCCCATCTCCTAGAACTGACGCTGGCACTGAGTAGATACTCCACAAATCTTTGTTGAATGGTTTATTAGACTGTTCTTGCACTGCTATAAAGAAACACTTGAGACTGGGAAATTTACAAAGAAAAGAGGTTTAATTGGCTCATGTTTCTGCAAGCTGTACAGGAAGCATAGTGGCATCTGCTTCTGGGGAGGCCTTAGGAAGCTTCCAATCAAGGCAGAAGGCAAAGGACAAGCAGGTACATCACATGACGAGAATGGGAGCAGGGTCGGGGAGAAGGTGCCACATACTTTTAAATGACCAAATCTCATGAGAACTAACCCTCTGAAGACAGCACAAAGTTATGACAGGTCTGCCCCCACAAGCAGACCTGTCACCAGGTCTTTCCACCAGGTGGGACCTTTCCACCAGGCCCCACCTCCAGCATTAGGGATTACAATTCAACATGAGATTTGGTGGGGAACAATATACAAACTATAGCCAATGGATGGATCAAATAATATGTAAGAGTCAACTTCTCTTCCTTACTAAGCAGAGCCCAGATATCCCAGATGTTTTTTGGTGACTTCTGAAATAGCAGATTCCTGAATTTAACTATCATTAGGTAACATTAAAGAAGAACTTTAGTTATATCACCAAGGAGACTTTAGTTATAATATATGACCTTTTTATTTTGTATCAAATCTGCTTTATTTGCTGGTAAACAAAATCACTGTGTAGGAAATATTTATTATTGTGCAATTCTTTTTATGTGTAAATCCATAAAGGTCATTTTTGCAACAGTCTTTGGGAATATTAAGGGTAGTGCAGTTTTGTTATTCCCATTTTACAGCTGAGCATGTTGAGGCTGAATGTATTCCTAAATCCATACAGCTGAGAAGGAACTGACTTGGGATTCCATACCTGGTGCCTTTTTATAGCCCCACGGGTTACTTTCTATTGGAGAAGCTGAGCCTTCAAAGTATGCAACTTTCCTTTTGTTCTACTAAGTGAGAGATGGTACTCAATCTGGTTTTCCTGGAAATGCTCTTACAAGCCAGAAGCAGGCCCTGAACAACTCTGCAATTACCAGGGAGAGGGTATAATTTGGGGAAAAGCCTGGGTGGGCTTTATTCTGGAGATCTCACTGGTGATGAACTCCATTATTAGCAGACAAGATGATCATTGGGAATGAAAAGAAGTTGGTTCTGGTCCCTGCTCAGTCCCTGACCCAGAGTCAGGGTACACTCTCTATTCCCAGGGGTGCTGTCTGGATTCTGTGCCTAAGGCCATCTCTCTGTGAGCTCAGTGTGAAAGCTGCCAAGTGAAACACAGGCATCACGGTTCCAGTGATGACCACTGCCCACCCCCCAGGTCACCATGGTGCCCCCGGTACCCCCACCAACCAGGTCCTGGACAGTGCTCCAACCCCACTGTGACCCTGTGCCGAGCCGGCCACCCCGTGTCAATTGCCAGTGGCTATTTACTGCTGGCACTCAAAATGGGAAGCTCAGTTGTAGTCTTGGCATGGATGATTATTTCACTTCTGATTTCTATCAAAATGCACTGACCTTTTCCATCTAGTTTCCCAACCTATAAAATTGGTGTTCGAGCAGCAGCTGTGTGGTGTTCTCATGGGGTTCGTGGGGGGAGAATAACATGAAATGAGCTATTGGCCTCTGTGTCACATCATCTTATGCATTCTTCAAAATTGCCCTACAAGGTAGAGCTCTTACCGCCATTTTATTTATTTATTTATTTATTTATTTATTTATTTATTTATTTGATGGAGTTTTGCTTTTGTTGCCCAGGCTGGAGTGCAATGGCACAATCTCGGCTCACTGCAACCTCTACCTCCTGGGTTCAAGCAATTCTCCTGCCTCAGCCTCCCAAGTAGCTGGGATTACAGGCACCTGCCACCATGCCCGACTAATTTTTTGTATTTAGTAGAGATGGGGTTTCACCATGTTGGTCAGGCTGGTCTCAAACTCCTGACCTCAGGTGATCCACCCGCCTTGGCCTTCCAAAGTGCTGGGATTCCAGGCATGAGCCACCGTGCCCGGCCTTCTTACCCCCATTTTGTGGTGGAGAGATTTACACATGGAGGGATTTAGTAACCTGTGAGGAAGGAAAAAAGCCCCTGAGATTTGGAAGCTGGCCTTCCATTCACAGTTAACCTGTGTTCTTCTCCTCCGGGACATAAACACCCTCACAGGGTGCTGATCTCAGACAAGGCTACTCTGACACTACGATAAAATGACACAAAGCAAGACCACATCATAATTTTTTCTAAGCACAGACAAAAACAACGTCACTGTACCACCGTGAAATACCAGACACCCCCTCTTGGCTAAAATGAGTGACTGTTACTTCTTTTCCTACTACAGCTATATCCTTGTTGCCATCTCCCTTCCTTATAGATGTGATTTATGGAGACACTGAGTCACAGAATTGCCCCCAGTTTCTTACAGCTGCCAATTGAAAGTAAACTGCCACTTCCTTACTGATATGGTTTGGCTGTGTCTCCACCCAAATCTCAACTTGAATTTTACCTCCTGGAATTCCCATGGGTTGTGGGAGTGACCCAGGGGGAGATAATTGAATCATGGGGGCGCCGATCTTTCCTGTGCTATTCTCGTGGTTGTAAGTCTCATAAAATCTGATGGTTTTGTCAGGGGTTTCCATGATTGCTTCTTGCTCATTTTCTGTTGTCACCACCATGTAAGAAGTGCCTTTCACCTCCCGCCATGATTCTGAGGCCTCCCCAGCCATGTGGAACTGCAAGTCCAATTGAACCTCTTTATCTTCCCAGTCTCGTATGTCTTTATCAGCAGCGTGAAAATGGACTAATACACTTACCCTCCCCCAAATCACTCAAACCAACCCCAATTCTATCACAGGTTCTGTCTAACACCCTCTTACTGAGACACCCTGGTGTGTATTCTCTCTCACTGCAGTAATTAATAAACCCAGCTTATTCAACTGCAAGTGTGTTCTTGGTGATCTCTGCTGGAAGACGTTGGTTCTTGTCCAGGGTCCCACAGCTGAAGGATGAAGACTGGATTCTAACTCAGGAAGTAGGCTTTTCTGATTCCAGAACCCATATGGGACCTCCTCTCTGGGAAAGCGGCAAGAACAAGCAATCTCAGCACCATCAAATTCTCCAGCCCCCAAGGGAAGTTCCCAATCCAGTCCCCAAAGGGAAGGTCAGAATTCCAGCATCCACCCTCGGCCTTGATTTTGGTGTTATGTTTTGCACTCCCCGTGTGCCTGGAAGGGGTCCCAGGTAGATAGCTTTCTACTTGTCGACTGAAAGAGGAGACAGAGAAATCTAAGCCCCTCTCATCTGTCATGTGGTCACACCCCATGGACAGGACAGCAGTACGAAGATGCCCGCAGCCTGCACAGGGACTGTCCCACCTGCCCACAGCCCCACTCTCTCCATGCCTGGCACGTGGAGGATGCCATGTGTTCTGTTAGCAAGAGCAGCTGAAACCACTTTTCCCAGTATTGTCCTTTGCTCCTGATGACGTCTCTACAGCAGTGTCCTTGATCCCAGCAGGACACTGGCCTGGGATTTAAGAAGATGTGTAGCTACTCTCTCAGACCCCCTGGGGCCCAGCAGTCCATATACCTAATAGCTTTTGACCTAGACTTCGGCATAGCTCCCTTCTGGGAGTTCTGGCATGGATACCAGGGGATCATCTTGCCTCTGTGGCTGCTGAGATAGCAACAATTACTATGGTCACCCATTACCAGCACCATTTACAAAAGATTGGACTGTGTCAGAATATGTTCTATACTTCTTTGATCTTTTTAAAAACCCTGTGGGGTGGATATTATTGCCATTTTACAAATGAAGAAACCGAGACTCAGAAAGTTTGGTACTAACCTAAACAGACATAGCAGATAAGTGGCAGAGCCAAGATTTGAATGCAGAGCTTTCTCCAAGTCACCCTACTTAGTCCTTCTCTCCAGCCCCTGAGCATCCAGGTGTCCTACATGCACCTGAGAAGTCATTCAAGGTTACAGTGGATGCTGGGCTGAGCCGAGACCCACGCTCAGACGGAAGGCCTTTTTTTTTTTTTTTTTTTTTTTTTTTTTTTTTTTTTTGTGAGATGGAGTCTGGCTCTATTGCCCAGGCTGGAGTGCAGTGGCGCCATCTCGGCTCACTGCAAGCTCCGCCTCCCGGGTTCACGCCATTCTCCCGCCTCAGCCTCCGGAGTAGCTGGGACTACAGGCGCCTGCCACCACGCTCGGCTAATTTTTTTGTATTTTTAGTAAAGACGGGGTTTCACCGTGTTAGCCAGGATGGTCTCCATCTCCTGACCTCGTGATCCGCCCGCCTTGGCCTCCCGAAGTGTTGGGATTACACGCGTGAGCCACAGCGCCCGGCCCGGACGGAAGGTCTTAATCCCCAGTTACCGAGACTGCTGCTGCTGATGGCCTCCCTGGGGACAGCTGCCTTACCCAAGGTTATGTCCCATTTAGGGGCAGCCTACCTCATCAAAGGGGAAGATACAAAGGCCTGGTCCATGCTCCGGCTGGGGATAACTCTGAAGGGCCATCCCAGTTTCAGAGTTCCCCGTGGGCTCAGGGGAGGCCTGGTTGTGACTGCATCGCAGCCAACCTCTCCATCTGCCTGATACCACTGCCACCTTCTCCATAGGTGTTCATCCCGAGGCTCTCCTTGGGAATCTTCCTGCACTCCGTTCTCTGCAGTCTGCTTCTGGAGAACTCCACCTGCAACAAGGGTGTTTTTGAGAATTAGCTGGGGGCTTGCAGTTTCACCTACTGCAATGCCTGGCTTACAACACCTAGAGGAAGGTGGTATCTCCAGCAGGCAGGATGGGCATTCCTGTGTCCTCAGCTTCAGTCATCATGGGCTGGAAGCAGATGAACTATTCAATGGGCTTTGGGTTCTGACCTGTTTAAAAGAATTTCTCTGGTGCAGATGTCTAACTGAAGACTTTTTAAGCCCAGAATTAGTCTTTTCTTTTTCAGGCCAGGCGCGGTGGCTCATGCCTGTAATCCCAGCACTTTGGGAGGCTGAGGGGGGTGGCGGATCATGAGGTCAAGAGATCGAGACCATCCTGGCCAACATGGTGAAACCCCGGCTCTATTAATAATACAAAAATTAGCTGGGCATGGTGGTGCACAGCTGTAGTCCCAGCTACTCAGGAAACTAAGACAGGAGAATCACTTGAACCTAGGAAGTGGAGGTTGGAGTGAGCCGAGATTGCACCACTGCACTCCAGCCTGGCGACAGAGCAAGACTCAGAAAAAAAAAAAAAAAAAAATCGGCTGGTCTGAAGGTAGTGAGTTATCGCATTGAATGTTCACAGTCAGTTACAGATTGAACCCTTTGTTCTACCCTTTTCCCCCTCCTCACTGCTGCACTTGACTAGCCTTACAACACATTTAAAAATAAAAAATTTTGGGATTAGAGAGCCTGATAGTTCAAGTTTATTACTAAGGTAAATAAAGGATATCAACTTTTATAGTTTAATCTCTGAAGCAAAATAAATCATTGACAAGGCTTCCACTAGAGCAAATGGCATGGTAATTAAGATATTATTACCTGATTTTACCAATTTATCATCTGTTTAGTTCTGCTATATGCCAGTCTCTGTGCTAGGGGTTAAGGAGGCAGAGATGAATGAGATCAATTCTGCCTGTTGAGAAGTTCACCCTCTTGTAGGAGAGGCTGACATAAACCAGTCATAATAAAAGTCATAATGATAATAGTTTCAAGGGTCCAGACTGGTTGAAAACGCTGAATGAAAAAAAGAATAGTTGCCAAGTGTGGTAACTCATGCCTGAATCCCAGCTATCTGGGAGGCTAAGGTGGGAGGATCGCTTGAGGCCAAGAGTTTGAGGCTGCAGTGAGCTATGATCCAGCCTAGATGACAGAGCAAGATCCTGTCTAAAAAAATAAAAAAGTGGCTGGGCGCGGTGGCTCACGCCTGTAATCCCAGCACTTTGGAAAGCCGAGGTGGGCAGATTACCTGAGGTCAGGAGTTCAAGACCAGCCTGGCCAACATGTTGAAACCCCATCTCTACTAAAAATACAAAAAATTAGCCAGGCATGGTGGCAAGTGCCTGTAATCCCAGCTACTCAGGAGGCTGAGGCAGAAGAATTGCTTGAACTGGGGAGGCAGAGGTTGCAGTGAGTAGAGATTGTGCCATTGCACTCCAGCTCGGGCAACAAGAGGGAAACTCCATCTCAAAAAATAAAAGTAAATAAATAAAAGAAAAAAAATAGTGAATATTATATTTCCATACTTAGTTGAATGAAAATTATGAGTAGGCAAATAAGAAACATGTCATCCAAAGCTCTTACAAAGAACAGCAGGATGTGAGACTGTGCTAACCTTTCTGGCCGGCATCAGGCAGCCTTAGCTGTAACCTCGTGGTGTTGACGCTACCCAGGCCCTTTAGAAAAGGCTTCTTGAGATGATTTTGTGTGAAAGTGGTCCAACGGTTTGTCCCCTTCAGGTCACCCTGCCAACATCTTAAGAGTTACTGCTCTTAAAATATTAGTTGCCTGTAGCTCTTTTCTACTTAAATATCTGTAATGCCTCCCCTCCCATCCCATTGCCTTCCAGATGAAGTTCAACCTCTCTTCTTGCATCACTCCCCAGAAAGCTCTTTTTTTGTGGTCCCATTGGGCCACTCCTCAGACCCTGAACTCAGGAGACCTTTCAAAGAAGTCCAGGTCTCCTTGCCTTCACTCCTGCTAGTCCCCTTTCCTGGAATTCCTTCTTCTCTTCTCCTGACCAGTCACTAGGCACAGCTTTCAGGCCAGCTAAAATTTCGTCTCCTCTACAAACTCTTCCCTGAACACTTCAACCTGAATGGACCTCTCCTTTACCTTTCATGGGAAAATAAACTCCTGTGGCCCTGGTGGCCCTTTCTTCTGGTCTTTACCTGTCATTTTAATGTGTCCTGCCACTCTGTCTTCTAGGAGTCTACAATTCTCCCTAGCAGGACCTGTAATGAATGTGGCAGGGTCAAGTTTGGTGTCCCGGGGGGCATCCTAGAGGGTCGTTTGGGGACCAGTGTTGCTTGCCCTCCGTGCTGACTTATAGGGAGGGACACAGCTAAAAACCAAGAGCTGCTCCCTTCATCTCTTTATCAAGACCTGGTAAATTGGCCTCCTCCAAATATTGAACAAAATCAATTCAGCTACTTTAGGGAAAAAGGTAGCATTTTTCGCTGTTGAGAATAAATTAATCCTACTTCCTTTTCTTTTTAAGGAAAGCAGTAAATCAAGAGAGAGAGAGAGAGAAGAAAACAAAAACAAAAACAAAAAACCCCCGCCTCTCTGTAACCCTGTCTTGCTCCCTGGGAACAGTGTAACCTGGCCTCAATCCCAAAAAGCAGAAGGAAAGTATTTTTCAAAATGTCAATGGCCCTGAAAATTTGAGTTCAGTTCCTTTCTTTTCTTTTTCTTTTTTTTTTAGATATAGTCTCACTCTATTGCCCAGGCCGAAGGCACCAAAGGCGCAATCTTGGCTCACTGAAACCTGTGCCTCCCGGTTTCAAGTGATTCTCCTGCGTCAGCCTCCCGAGTAACTGGGATGACAGACATGTGCCACCACGCCCGGTTAATTTTTGTATTTTTAGTAGATGGGTTTTCACCATGTTGGCCATGCTGGTCTCGAACTTCTGACCTCAAGTGATGCACCTGCCTCAGCCTCCCAAAGTGCTGGCATTACAGGTGTGAGACACTGCACCCAGCCGAGTTCCATCTTTTTGAAAACTGAATTGGGATCCCTGTGTATGTTTGTATGTTTATGTTTGTGCCGTGTATGTGCATGTGTGAAGGTGCTGGTCTGTGCATGGCATGTGTCCCGATGTGTGTGTGTCTAAATGTCTGCTCACGTACCCTTTCTCTTTTAATAAGTCTAAAACTGACCTGGAATGGTGCAGCTAGAACTAGAAGGGAACACCCAGGCCAGTCCTTCCCTGTATGGGGAGGAAGCCGCCCCACAGTGGAACAGGATTTATGAAGGGACACAGGAGGTGGGCTGCACCCCAACTCATAATTTTCAAAACAGAGATGCAGCAACTCACAGCAGTACACCCTGTTCTCTGGCTCCCAAACTGCCAAGGGTGTGCCCTGGCAAGGGGTTCTCAGACACCCTCAGCCAGGCTCAGCCACAGACAAGGCTCTGAACTAAATTGCTCCTTGGCCTTTGCTGCCTTAGCAAAAGCAGAAACCACAAGCCTTCCCCACCCAGCAGGGCCTAGAAGCCTGGCTCTGGCAACTTCTGGAAAGGCGTCCTGCCTGTCTGTCTGGGTACCAAGCTGAGACCCTGAATGAGGTTCATTCTTTTCTGGGGCTGCTGTTTTTCTCTCCTGTTAGTTCCTTGCTTTCCCAAGACAGCCAAGAGGAAACCAAAGTTCCTGTCGCTGTGCAGAGTCTCTTGGCATTTTCTAAAGAGAACACCCAGCAGCCTTGGGGTGAGAGGATTTTAAATCAGAAGTTTACTGATGGGGCGCAGGGGCAGAAAGCGACTTGCCTGGGCCTTGCTCTGTTGGCACCCCCAACCCCAGCTGGCCATGGAAACTCGGACTTCATGCACGCAGGGTTGCAGAGGGCTGAGGAACCCACCATTTCTGTCTCTACCTCTCCTTGTAAGGGCAGTCAGTCAGAGATGGGGTGCACAGTTATTCTGGGATTTCCCCAGACTGCCCCTTGGGTTCCACGGGTAGCAGCTGAACACCCTCCGAGGACCCAGTTGCTGTCCTAGGTGTCCGCACATGCACCATCTTATTTGACTGCCATGAAAGCCGAGCCCGGTGAGAGCATGCACTCTCTTCTATAGCAGAGGGAGCCGGGCTCCCGAGGGAGGCCAGGGATGGCGCTGCTCACTTGTGGCCATGTCGGAGGGGCATGCTATGAGGACCATGCTACCCACCATGGCAGCAAAATAGAAAGATAATAACAGGCTGTTCCGATCTGATTAGAGTTGGAACTGGCGGGAAGTAAACCAGGTAAGGCCTGCGGCAAAGTCTTCAGTGTGGCAAGGGTCAGAAGAGGTGTGCCAGGCTCTGCAGATCACTTTGTATCCATCCTCACCCCGTCTGATTCCTGCATCCATTGGGAAGGACAAGTAGAGGGCCTGGCACTTGGGAGGCGGGGCCAGGATAGAGCTGTGTGTGTTTAGGAAGAGAGCCGCAAGCTGGTATGGTCTATTATGGACTGAATGGTTGTGTCTTCCCAAAATTCATGTGTTGAAAACCTAAACTAAAATGTGATGGTATTTGGAGGTAAGGGCTTGGGGAGGTGATTCCACTTAGATGGAGTCATGGGGGCGAGGCCACCGTGATGGGATTAGCATCCTTATAAGAACACGAAGAGGCCAGAACACGCTGTCTACCACGTGAGGGCACGGTGAGAAGGCAGCTGTCTCCCAGTCAGGATGAGAGCCCTCACCAGAGCTCGGACATTCTGGCACCTGGGTCTGAAACTTCCAGCCTCCGGAGAGGTGAGAAATACATTTGTGTTGCTAAGCCACTCAGTCTAGCTGTTTTGTTGTGGAAGCCCCAGTTGTTTCTATAATCTGAGCTCTGGGGGGACTGAGACTGTGGTGGGGGCATGCGTGCCCAGCAGGGGGGAGATAGAGCATGGGGAGGAGGGGCTATGAAACAGACACGGCTGGAGTGGGAGTCTGAATGCATCCAGACCCTTGCCGGGCTGCACCAACTTGCCACCTTCCTTCTACCTGGGCTGGGCGAGACAGGTAACGCCTTCAGACAACCTGCTTTGGAGGAAGCAGTGATTTCTGGGCCAGACATGCAGCTTAGTGCCCCAGTATGTAATCAGAGTGTGCAGAGCCATGGCAGCTGGGCCCATGGTGGGCCTGGCACTGGGCTCTCTGTCTGTGGTCACAACTAGCCTGTATCTGGCCAGGCATCGGCTCAGCTGACCTCAGCGCCCCTTCCCTCCCCTCCTGGGAAGATGTGTGCTCTCACAGCTTTATTCCCAGGGAAGCTGAATTGCCAGAGTCTCCTGGGTGCATAGAGGGGTCAGACCTTCCCTCAGGCCCTTTGCCTGAGAGCCTTCTCTTCAGCCCGTGGCCCAGCACTCCCCTTCCTAATGAGCTGAATTTCTGCTGTGAGTCCTTGTTGCTGAAGGGCCCGGGACCAGGGCCTCCCGATCATGATGGGTTTAGCCCCCCATGGCATTGGAGTATTGACTTGGTCTCCAATGTGGAGACACGGAGGGAAGCACTTCCTGATAGGGGCATCCAATAAGGATCCTGGGGTTGGGGGGTCGTACATTCTCCTGGGGAGGCCACTGTGAGATTTCTGACCAGGGTGAAGCTAGGATCCTTCCAGCTGGAAAGCCTCGCATCCTGTGAGCTTCCTCTTTTAAGGGACTCAGCAGAACTGATTTCCAAATTCTCATATCTGCAGCCCCAAGATGCTTTCTGCGGCCTCTAGAAGTCTGATCAGGCTGTTTAAATTTGCTTTTGAACAGCCGAATGGGAAGTGAGGAAGAGGAGGAGAAGAAGAAGAGAGAGAGGGGAAGAGGAGCAGGGGATTATACGGAGCTAGTATGGTGATATTTGAGAAGGATCTGGCCCAAATTTAGGGCCTGTGGACTCCTGGGCAGCCCCAGTTCTGTGTTTTCAAGGTGGTGATTTAGATGCCCTGTTTTATCTTTTTCCCTCCCCTCCCCTTCCTCCTTCCCTCCCTCCCTCCCTCCCTCTTTCTCTTCTCTTCTCCTCTCTTCCCTTCTCCTTCTTCTTTCTTTCTTTCTTTCTTTCTTTCTTTCTTTCTTTCTTTCTTTCTTTCTTTCTTTCTTTCTTTCTTTCTTTCTTTCTTCCTTCCTTCCTTCCTTCCTTCCTTCCTTCCTCCCTCCCTCCCTTTCTTTCCCTTCCTTCCTTCCTTCCTTCCTTCCTTCCTTCCTTCCTTCCTTCCTTCCTTTCTTTCTTTCTTTCTTTCTTTCTTTCTTTCTTTCTTTCTTTCTCTCTCTCTCTCTCTCTTTCTTTCTTTCTTTCTCTTTCTCTCTCTCTCTCTCTTTCTCTTTCTCCTTTTCTCTCTTTCTCTCTTTCCTTTCCTGTCTTGAAGGAGTCTCACTCTGTTGCCCAGGCTATAGTGCACTGGCGCAATCTTGGCTCACTGTAACGTCCACCTCCTGGGTTCAAGCAATTCTCCTGTCTCAGCCTCCCGAGTGGCTGGGATTACAGGTGCACTCCACCGTGCCTGGCTAATTTTTTGTATTTTTAGTAGAGACAGGGTTTCACCATGTTGGCCAGGCTGGTCTCAAACTCCTGACCTCAGGTGATCCACCCCCCTCGGCCTCCCAAAGTGCTGAGATTACAGGCATGAGCCACTGTGCCCTGCCTAGATGCCCCATTTTCTCGTACCTTTTAGGAAATGAAAGACTTAAGAATTCAGGCATCTGGGCAAGGAGCTGTGGCCCTTGAAGGCAGCCTCTCTCCTGCTCCTCTGCTTAACCTTACAGCCTTCTCCATAAGCCCCACTTCCTTCCCCTGGAAGGGGAAGCTTGGCTCTATTCTAGGGGCATACCCAGAGGCTGTCTCCAGCCCAGTAGAAGTGAGTCCACTGCGAGGATGAGCTTAATCAGATCTGAGAGCTTCTCCCCTAAGCCGCACAAGAAGTGTTGACAGATTTGGCAGCATGTAAAAATGCTTGTTGCAGCCTTTGATTAGGCAGGTAAGGGTGTTCCAACAGGCCTATCCAAACTATCCCCACCAGTGTTTCGTACAGCTAAGGAGACTGAGGCCTGGAGTCATGAAGGGTTCTACCCAGGTTGCACATCAGAGTGAGAGCACCTTGGTCTGGAGATCCCTAGGTAGGATGCAGGGTTGTGGCTACTGAAGCCAGGATGGACCCTCCTCCATGGCTGTAGACCACCTCTTGGGTGTCTGGTTGGTCTTGCTTGGCTCCTGGTCAAGCACATTCACAGCAGCATCTCAAAGCCAGACTGTTGGCTCAGGGCCTCAACCTGTCTGGGTCCAGGCACAAAGTTAACATGGGCTCTGCCTCTCCGTTCATCTGCATCTGACTGTGGCTTGTAGGTCACCCCATAACCTGGGGGTTCAGGCAAAATCCTGTTGCTGAAATGCAAAACAGCCAGCACTTTTGGGGGATGGAGCCACTGGCAGTGCAGGGCTCCTTGCCTGTTCTGCCGTGGTCTTGCAGCCTGTGGTTCATCCTTTCAGTCCTCCTGCCTTGGGATTTCCATTTGCTTGGTGGAGAAGTTGAATGGAGCTAGCCCTGTGCTGCAGGACTGCTCCCCTCCCCCTTCATCACTGTAGGATTCCCAGGCAACCATTTGACCAAATCTTGCAAGTCCTAGCCCCTCTTACTACTTTCTCTGATGATAACATTTGTAGGCCAAGGGGAATCCCAATTACTGTACCCTGTTGTCTTTTTTGAATTACTCCTTAATCTATCTATTAAAAAGCAACCTCAAGCAGGATCCTAAATAAATGGACTTTAATCAAGAGAATTATCAATGTGATTCATTCTCCCTCAGGGCAGAGATGCAATTTATCTTTCAGCAAAGGACACAGCAACTTAACACACCCAGACTAAGAACAATGGCCATCAGGCCCATCTGTTCCCAGGAGAAGGCTAAAGCATTTGGTGTTAGTGCCTGGGGCTCTGACCCCATTAGACTTCTCCGCTGGAGTTCTCGTAATGGTGACATCTTAACTGAAATGGAGAAGGGAAGGCACCCAGCGTGGCCAGGGGCCCAGCAGAGCTGGGTCAGGTGGTGACCCCTTCTCTTCATGGGGACAGCGGGGGCTGCCAGCCTTCGGAGCCCCTGAATATTTGCTCAACTGCTTCTTGCTCCCTGCTAAGTCCGTCGCATTCCAGATGCAGCAAGGAGGAGGCGCCCAAGAACAGGGGCAGAGCACTTTCCTAGACTGCCGTGTCCTCCCTAGAGTTGTGGGGGATGCCCCATGGGTGTGAGGAGACAGGCGTCTGAGTGGGGGGACACTCCTGCGATCAGCCTCAGGTTAAGGCCCCTGCAGGTGCTGACCTACTCCACAACTGACTCATGGGCCAGGAATACGGAATCAAATCTGTTTTTCTTTCCTTCCTTAGGACATGACTGTGATTGCTCCTCCTCAGCCCAACTTGGGAGAAGGCTGGTTTCTTCCCCAGACTTGTCTGAATGCTCGCGGCCCCCCCTGCCCTTCACCAGGGCCAGGACCGCTCAGGTCTCCATTCCCTTCCAGCCCAAGGCAGCACCCACTGCACCCTCCTCTGCCCTGGGCCCTGCTTGCCAGAGGCCTGGAGTCCAAGGGACCTGAAGGGGCTGCAGTGGCCACGTTGAGAGCTGAGTTATGACTAAATCTTCCCAGAACCTTAGAACTTCCAAGGAGCGTAGAACCGCTTGGCAATGTAAACCATTTCAGGCCCAGAGAATGATAGAAAAGTAGAATCTTAAGTTTGGGAACAATCTTTAAGGTAATCTACCTTCTTTCCAGCACAGCAGCCTTGCCTGCCTTCTTTCCTTATCCACAGTCTCCTTGAGAAGAAGCTGGGCCTTGTGGGAAACATTCCCAGGACTTCTTTCCTTCCTGGACCTCTGGGAGACCACACCTTCCAGTCCCTTTGCAGTGAGGAGGGGCCAAGTGGCATTTCTGGCCTGTGAGATAGGAGCAAAAGTAATGTTTGTCACACTTCTGAGTTGAGGCAGTGAAAGTCCCTGAGCCATTCCCCAGGGAAGAGGGAAGTCCTTCTTCCCATTCAGGACTAATCACAGACAAGTGCCTGTGTTGAGACTGCAAAGTCCCAGATCAAAGCAGCCAGACCCATTGAGGCACTGCAAGGAGACAGTGCCCTGGAGGGCTGCCTGAGTTGCAGCAGGATCTGCATGAGCAAGGGTTAAGCTTGGTGAGATTTGGGGGCTATTTGTGTAGTAGGACATTATAACCTAGCCTGTGCTGGAGAATATTCCCAGCCTACATTCCAGACTCCCAGGCATGGGAATTCACTATGGGTGAATGAGGCTGTTGGGTTCGTTGCTCAGCAGCTGTCAGTTGGAAAGTTTGTTTTTTCCCTTGAACTGAAATCTGCTTCCTCACAACTCCCTTTTCTTTTTTTTTTTTTTTTTTGTTTTCTCTTTTCTATTTTTTTGGAGATGGAGTCTCACTCTGTTGCCCAGGCTGGAGTACAGTGGCACGATCTCGGCTCACTGCAACTTCTGCCTCCCAGGTTCAAGCGATTCTCCTGCCTCAGCCTCCCCAGTAGCTGGGATTACAGGAGCATGCTGCCAGCCCGGCTAATTTTTTGTATTTTAGTAGAGACGAGGTTTCACTGTGTTGCCCAGGCTGGTCTCGAACTCCTAAGCTCAGACAATCTGCCTGCCTTAGCCTCCCAAAGTGCTAGGATTACAAGTGTGAGCCACCGCACCTGGGCCACACCTGAAGTAGGTGAAGCCTTCTGTTCTCAAACTTGAACGTGCCTCTGAATCACCTGGAGGGCTTGTTAAACACGGTGTTCTGGGCTCCAGCTCCGGTTTCTGATTCAGCAGGTGTTATGGACTGATTATATCTGCCACCCCCAAACCTGCCCCAAATTCATGTTTTTGGCATTTTAACCCCTAATGTGATGCTATTGGGATATGAGACCTCTGAGGGGTGGTCAGGTCACGAGGGTAGAGATTTCACCAATGGGAGGAGGGCCCTTATGAAAGGACCCCTGAGAGCTCTCTCACCCCTTTCTGTCATGTGAGGTTACAGTGAAGAGGCCATTTTCTGCAACCAAAAGTGGACCCTCATCAGACACCAACCATGCTGGCACTCTGGTCTCAGGCTCCCAGCCTCCAGAACTGTCAAAATGAAATTTCTGTTGTTTTACAAGCCACCCACCCAGTCTATGGTACTTTTTTTTATAGCGTCACAAACTAAGATAGTAGGCTTGGGGCAGGACCTGGAAATTTACATTTTTAGTAAGTTCCCAGAGGATGCTGCTGCTGGAGGTGTGGAGGCCACACTTTGAGAACAGCTACTCTCTATCTTCTGTTACATCTCCCCAGGAACCTGCTAGCCCATGCTGGTCATGGCTGCAGAGGTGCCCCCACCCTGCCAGGCCACATAGAGCAGATCCCTCCCCCGGTTGGTCTGGGTTGGTCAGAGTCTGGTGATGTTCCCTCCATAGACTGCGAGCCTTAATGGGCAGGGCCTGCAATGTACTCATCCCTGTGGCCCTCAGTCTGACAGTGGTCAGCCGCAGCAACCAGCATATGCTCAGCGAATGTTTGCTGAGTGTATGGATACCCACAACAGGAGGAAGACCTTGCCCACTTCTGAAATCTTTCACTCATCTTCAGACTCCTGGTACAGAGGCCCCTGGGGAGCTCACACTGCCCACCCTGCAGGCATCAGGGCTGATACCAGCTTCTAGGCATGTTGGAGACCGGATGGTGAGTGGGGATGGGCTGCATCCTCTCTCCAGGAGGCCGGAGGTGTGTGTGGGTCGGTGGTGCCCCGGCTATTCCCGTAAAGACCAAGCTTGGCAAGCCCACTCTTGCTGTCGGGTCTGCAGATGACTTCTCTTGTGCTCATGTGAGCCAACTCTGACTTCTGGGAAGGATCGTGCTGTCTTGATTGCTGCAAACACAGACAGGTTAGCTCATGCTTGGCTGCACTGCGGATGACGTGGGCTCCAGCTTCCTGGGGGGTCTGCTGGGCCAAGTCCTCAGGTTTTCCGCCTGAAATCAATTCATCACATCTCAAGGCACTGCCTCCTGTATCATGTGCCTGGCCAGAGCTCATGGCAATGAGGTAGCCGACACTGGGGACTGTGATCCATTCCTGCTGGGCTTGGGCCCTCAGAGAGCCTGGGCAAGCTATTGCCAGGAAGGGCCATGCCAGGAGCAGCCAAGGACCTCTGATAGTTAGAATCAAGGCTGTTAAAGTCAAGGCCAACTTCGGGGTGTCGTGCCCTATCCTGTGGAGAACACTGACCCTGCTGGAGGTCTATGACCCTCTTCTTCCTCCCACTTCTCCCCCTGCCCTCCCCCTCCCTCCTCCTCCTTCTCTTCCCTCTCCTACGTCTTCCTTTTCTTCTTCCATTTTACAATCTTTAGTATGAAAAGGATTAAACATACAGAAAGTTGAGAGGATAACATGATAAACCCACAATACCCATCACCTGGATTTAACAATTGTTAACATTCTGCTGTATCTGCGTCATTGACTCTTTTTTGCTTGAGTATTTTAAAGGAAATTACTGACATACATTTTACCCTAAATATTTCAGTATGCATCTCTAAAATGCAAAACAGTTTTCTACATAAACATAATATCATGATCATATTCATCAAAATTAACACTAATTCCTTAATATCATCTAATAGTCGGTATTAATATTTCTGCAATTGTTGCAAAAATGTCTTTTGTGATTGGTTTACTCAAACCAGAATCTAAACCAGATCCACGTGTTGCATTAGCTCATTAGGTCCCTTCCCCCCCGTCCCCGCCCCACCCCGCTTCTTTTCACAGCTGTTGAAGGTCCCATTTATACTAGAAAGTCCTTCCCACTCCCTTTCCCCCTGTGGTATAGATGGGTTGAGGACACCAGGCCAGCGTGCAGGTCTCCAAGTCCATGGAGGGGTGGATTCCCAGGCAGGGGTCTGAGAGAGAGCCCAGCCCCCTCCTTTCCTAGGCTGAGGGAGTCGCAGGCAGGCATCACCCTGAAGGGACACAGGGCCATCCTGGAGAAGCTGTCCCTCCTGGGAAGCCACGTGATGTGCAGGAGGGTCAGGGGAAGATGGTACAGAACAAGAATGAAGACTTTGAGACACTTACAGTGACACCAGGTCACTCAGGGAGGGAAGAATCACAGGAGTCTCTAGGGAAGGATCTTTGAAGATGAAGGCCAGTGACTCAGAGGCGGACAGGGCCTTGGGTGCTCTGATCCTGCTGTGTGGGCTGGGCCTGGCCATGGCCAAGCAGCCTTCTGCCCACACACTATTCCCTTTGATGGGAGGCTGGACCCGCCCTTCTACTCTGTGAGGGCCCCTCCCTGGTAGCAACTTCTCTTCTGCCTCCATTTGGGTAACAGTCTGTCATGCGGGCAGCTGCTGGGAGCAGCTGTGACATTATCCAGACCCCACCCCAGGTCCCTGTTGGGCTGCAGCTCTGGCTCTGGCTCCGCCTTGATCCTCTGCTCTGCTTCTCCGTCGGGCTGGCTTCCAGGCCTGTGGCTCTGGGCACATTTGCTGCAGACAGAGCTTCCCGAGTCAGTCTCACTGCTCATGGTAAGAAACAAGGTGTGCCTCAGGAAGAACTTGTCAAGCAACGGTATTAATGGGGAGATGGCTTTTTTTTTTTTCCCCTGTAAGTGAGAAAATTAATTTAAAAGTTGATAATATCCAGTGTTGTTAAGGGTTCAGGGTAAACAGTCCCTTATTCTCTTGGGAGAGTGTAAATTGGTCAGTCTTTTGGAAAATAAAGAGACAACACCTATCAACATTAAAAATGTATGGCTTTTTATTCTTTTTAAATTTTTGTTATTATTATTTTAAGAAACACGGTCTCTCTGTGTTGCCCAGGCTGGAGATCAGTGGTTGATTCGAGCTCACTGTAGCCTTGAATTCCTGGGCTCAAATGATCCTCCCACCTCAGCCTCTTGAGTAGGTAGGGCTTTAAGCATGCACAACCACACTCAGCTAATTTTTTTTTTTTTTTTTTTTTTGAGACAGAGTCTTGCTCTGTTGTCTAGGCTGGAGTACAGTGGCATTGGCTCACTACAACCTCTGTCTCCTGGGTTCAAGTGATCCTCCTGCCTCAGCCTCCCGAATGGCTGGGATTACAGGTGCCCGCCACCACACTTGGCTAATTTTTATATTTCCAGTAGAGGTGGGGTTTCAAATGTTGGCCAGACTGGTCTCAAACTCCTGATCTGAAGTGATCCACCCACCTCAGCCTCCCAAAGTGCCGGAATTACAAGCAGGAGCCACCACACTGGCCCCAGCTAATCTTTGTAGAGCAATCTTGCAATGTTGTCCAGGCTGGTCTTGAACTCCTGGTCTTTGGCCTCAAGTGACCCTCCTGTCTTGGCCTCTCAAAGTGCTGGGATTACAGGTGTGAGTCATCATGCTGGCTTTTCTATCCATTTTTTCATTCAGTAAATATTGAGTCCCTACTATGTGCCAGGAGCTATTCAAGGTGTTGGGGATATAGCATTGAATTCAGACAGACAACGTGCCTGTTCTTGTGAAAATTATATTTTAGTGGGAAAAGTGGACAACAAATAAATAGAAAGTGTTATTTATAATAAATGCTATGAATAAAAATAAAACAGAGTAAGGAGGTATACTGTAGGGTAAGTTGTACCTCCTTCAATCTTTGGGGCTAGGAATTCAATTTCTGGGAAACTCTTAGAGAAATATTTCCACATTTGTACAAAGGCACACAGACATTCATAAGAGCAAGAAGTTGTAAACACCTTTGATGCCTAACGGGAGAGGAGTTGGCAAATGAATTGTCCGTCCACACAAATGGATAATATGCAGCCATTAAAAACAATGAGGCAGCTCAACTTGTGCAAACAAGGAAGGCTCTCAAAGACATGTTAAACAAAAGCAAGATGTCTTAGAGTAGCGTATACAGCAGGATCTGAATAAGTAAAGTAATACATTTCTCCGTAGACACATAGGAAAAGGTCTAGAGGCCGGGCACGGTGGCTCACGCCTGTAATCCCAGCACTTTGGGACGCCAAGGCGGGTGGATCACCTGAGGTTGAGTTCGAGACCAGCCTGGCCGACATGGTGAAACCCCATCTCCACTAAAAATACAAAATTAGCCAGGTGTGGTGGTGAGTGCCTGTAATTTCAGCTACTCAGGAGGCGGAAGGCAGGAGAATTGCTTGAACCCGGGAGGCAGAGGTTGTGGTGAGTGGAGATTGCACCATTGCACTCCAGCCTGGGCGAAAAGAGCGAAACTCTCGAAAAAAAAAAAGAAAAGGTCTCGAATGACCGAACACGGAAGAGAAGAGAAAGCGGGTTTGTTGCAAAATGGTCATTGCAGAAAGGTACTTTCACTTTTTACTCAAAATTCTTCTGTACTGTTTGAAGTCTTTTTTTCTAAATACTGCTAACATATATTTATGCATTCCATGGATTAAGTAAAAAGAAAGACACAAA